CACTTTTTTTATTTTTTCTGTTCTTTTGTTTTTTGTATTTCACTGGCCAAACAATTTTTTTCTCTTCTTAAAAGGTTACAGAGATCTTCTATATAACAAAATAATAATAAGAAGAATAACATATTACACTTGTAAATTATGTATACAAATTTAATGAAACAAAACTACGGACACCGAATATTTTGCATCGAAAATGTGTACTGGCCTACGTGTACCTAAGCATCTGATTTTTCTATCAATTTTTTTCTAACTCACATGGACTCCCGTTCATATTATATGAACGAGGGTCCATATACGACGGGCGGGTGCCCCCATTTAAAGGAAGTCCATCCATAATTAAAATGGAATAATTTTTTTTTTTATAAAAATTAGGGACGACCGTTCATCCGTTATGGACGGCCGTCCCTTCATTTCGGACGGGCGTTAGCAAATAAGGGACGCTCGTCCTTAACCAAAATATGAAAATAAAAAAAAAAAACTTTGGGGACGGCCGTCCATAAGTTTTGGACAGGCATTAGGAATGGACGCCCGTCCATACTTTACAAAAAAAAAAAAAAAATTCTAAACAAAAATAGTCTTCTTCTTCGCTCTTCTTCTTTGTCTTCATTCCCCATCTCCTCTCTTCTTCTTCGTCTCCAAGTTGGTCCAAAAGGTGGCCATTTGCTGAGAGAGAATACTTGGAAATCAGTTTAATTTGACTAGTTTTAATGTTATCACTCAAGAGCAGTGTTAAAATGTTAAAGCGAGCAAGTAAATTTGAACCCACAAACTTAGAATTCATTGAACAATTGCTACATGTGTCAATACATATGCCAGATTCATGATAAAAAAAAATGTTTACCTTATTGTAACAAAAGGTTTCCCTGTTAACATTTGATGAATAAACGTCTCATTAAGCTACTTGCATGATTCTTCTTCTACGCCCACAGTCACGTCAATTCCAGCTTCTCTCAGCCTCTCTAACCCTTTTGAATCTACAATTGGGTCTGGATCCACAATTCCAACCACCATTCTTTTCACTTTAGCTTTAATCATAGCTTCAGTACATGTGGAGTTCTTCCATAGTGATTACACAGTTCCATGCTCACATATGCTGTAGCATTCTCAGCCAAGTCCCCAGCATCTCTCAAAGCAAATACCTGCAAGTTTCACCTCCTGATTCAAATTCTTCGGCAACAGTTTCTTAAATAGACCATGCCGATTGAAAGCTTATATACAACACGCCTGTCTTATAAAACAAAGACAAAGAAGAAGAGAGGAGATGGGGAATGAAGACGAAGAAGAAGAGTGAAGAAGAAGACTATTTTCGTTTAAATTTTTTTTTTTTATTTTAAAAGTATGGACGGGCGTGACGTAATGGACGGCTGTCCATTCCTAATGGATGCCCGTCCAAACGTAAGGGACGGCCGTCCCCAAAGGTTTTTTTTTTATTATTTTTTTTATTTTCATATTTTGGTTAAGGACGGACATCCCTTATTTGCGGGCATGCGTCCAAAATGAAGGGACGGCCGTCCATAACGGACGAATAGCCGTCCCTTATTTTTATAAAAAAAATTTATTCTATTTTAATTATGGACGGGTGTCCTTTAAATGGGGACGTCTGTCCGTCGTATATGGACCCCCGTCCATATAATATGGACGGGAGTCCGTGTGAGTAAACGGCCGTTCACTAGAAAAAAAATTGATAGAAAAATCAGGCGCTTGGGTACACGTAGGCCGATACACATTTTTGGTGCAAAATATTCGGTGTCCGTAGCTTTGTTGAATTTAATATTTGTATATGAATTGATGTGGTAATGAATAAATGAAAAGTTGAAAATAAAAAATTAAATAAGGATATAAGTTAACAATATGGAGATTAAACTCAAAAAATACAACCAATCCATCAAAGCCATTAAATTTTACCAATTGGTGAAACATGAAGGTAGGCACCCAAGTATCGGAGTGTGAGATCTAGAGAATGAGCAAAAAATGTTGTAACCATTATTTTGATAAAAGCAGTTCAGAGTTTCGAATTGAACTTTACAATGAAGAATAACTCTCTTTTATATGAAAGAGAAGAGAATTGAAACTACACCGTTTTTAGTGAAAGAGGATTTTATAGCTAATTTACAACTTTGCCCTTTCTTACTCTTTGGTCAACATCTCCCCTCAATTGAGACTGGGGTATCCGTTTTTCCTTGCCTTTCTAGTCATCATTTCTCTTCAAGAGCAGGGGCACTTCTTTCACGGCTTGTTATAGCTTCAATGCTGAAATTGAAAGCTTGATACAGTTTCAGTTTCAAAGGAAATTGCTGAAATTGCTGAACTATTAGTGTTGAAGTTGCTCAATTGCTGCAGTCTAATCTCCATTCTCTGCACAATTAGTTCTAACAGATCTCTATAAATCTGTAAACTTAGAATCACACCAGTTACTTTGTAAACTTAGAACCACATCAACTGCAGAAGCCTTCTAATCTGAAACTGCACACTCTACTGCTCTAAACTAAAACTGCATACGCCTTCAACTACATAATTTCTATAAGCTATTTACAAACTATCATAAACTGCATTGGCTCAAGCTGGAACTGCAGATTCTGTTTTCAATAGTCTAAAACAACCACAATACTGCTCAACACTCCATTTTTCACACAAAGGTCAACTTAAAACGATAGCATATTGACTTTACAGCTTCAACACTTCATTAGCTCAAGTTTTCTCAACACTTCATTAGCTCAAGTTTTCTCAACACTTTACAGACTACAATATTCACCAAACTGAAACTGCATTTTTCATAACTGCATTTCAGACTTTACAGCTTTAGAACTAAATACATTTTCATAACTGCATTTCAGACTTTACAGCTTCAACACTTAATTAGCTCAAGTTTTCTCAACACTTTACAAACTACAATATTCACCAAACTGAAACTGCCGTAGAATCTGTTTCAACAGACTAAACAAACTGCATATCCTGTTTTCTCAACCCTTTGCAAACTACAATATTTACTAAACTGCAATATTAAATTGCAATATTCTCCAAACTGAAACTACATACACCTCCAACTGCATAATTGTCATGAGTTGTTTACAAATACAAGCTGTCATAAACTGCATTAGCTCAAGTTTTCTCAACACTTCACAAACTACAATATTCACCAAACTAAAACTGCTGCATAATCTGTTTCAATAGACTAAACAACCATAAACTGCATATCCTATTTCCTCAATACTTCACAAACTACAGTATTCACACAAACTGTCAGTTTTCTCAATAGTTCACAAACTACAGTATTCACACAAACACCTGTATATCCAGTTTTCTCAATACTTCACAAACTGCAGTATTCACACAACCACCTACATATCCAGTTCACACAAACTGCCAGTTTTCTCAATACTTCACAAACTGTAGTATTCACACAAACACCTGCATATCCAGTTTTCTCAATACTTCACAAACTGCAGTATTCACATAAACACCTGCATATCCAGTTCACACAAACTGCCAGTTTTCTCAATACTTCTCAAACTACAGTATTCACACAAACACCTGCATATCCAGTTTTCTCAATACTTCACAAACTACATTATTCACACAAACATAAGCCGAAACTGCATTTTTCACAAACTACTTCACAATCTGCACAACTCCATAAGCTTGAGGCTGTATTTTTCACAACATTCCACAAAACTCATTTTCATTTCCACATTAACTAATTGTCAATTAAAATGCTGGATTCTGAACAACTACATTTTTATTCCTGCTACACCCTTAAAAAAAAAAAAAAAAAACTGAAACAGAGGCTATTTCAGTAGCATATCAGCCTAGTTAATTACTTAACATTTTTGTCAGTAGAAACACTCACTTCAACAACATTGAGTTTTTGTTTTAGCTCCTGAAATTGAGCAACTGATAATGACTTTGTCAGAACATCCGCAATCTGCAATTTGGAAGGGACATATTGCACTATCACTTTCTTGGCTAGAACCTGATCCCTTATGTAATGTGTGTCAATTTCTTTATGCTTGGTTCGAGCATGAAAAACAAGATTGGCTGCTAAAGCTCATACACTAAGATTATCACACCAAATTACATAAGTTGCAGTCACCTTAACACCTAATTCAGAGAATAAACTATCTAACCAAGCCAGTTCAGTTGCTGTTTGCGCAAGAGCTCTGTATTCAGCCTCTGTTGAAGACAAAACAACAACCTTTTGCTTGCGAGAACTCCATTGAACTAGGTTAGGTCCCAAGTAGATACAATATCCGCTAGTAGACCTTCTATCATCAAGATTACTTCCCCAATCAGCATCTGTGTAGCACTCAACACAAAGAGAAGCTGCTGGTTTGAATTGTAAACCATGGAATTGAGTTCCTTTTATGTATCTTAACACTCTTTTGCAGGCTTGCCACTAAAGTTCAGAGGGTGATTGGAGGAATTGACTAAGTCTGTTGACTGTGAAGCTTATGTTGGGTTTAGTCAGTGTCAAATATAAAGTGGGATCTTTAAATAACTCACTGTCAGAAGAGAAAAGCTTTGTCCCGGCAGCCATGGGAGTTGGACAAGGATGAGCATCTTGCATTTTGGTTTTGACTAGTTGATCACCAATGTATTTGGTTTGCTTAAGATGAATACCCTCAGTATTTCTAGTAGTTTCCATCCCAAGAAAATAACCAACAGAGCCAAGTGTTTTAATGAGAATTCACTATTTAAATCTGTCACAATTTTTAGAATAGAGGAATGCTCTGAACCGGTGATGAGGATGTCATCTACATAGATGAGAATGTAGAGAACTTGAACTGAATCCTTGAAAATAAAGAGGCTAGAGTCTGATACTGAATTTTGAAATCCCCTATTCAATATAACCAAGCTCTTGGGGCTTGTTTGAGACAATACAAAGCTTTATTGAGTTTGCATACATAAGAAGAAAACTTAGGATGCTCAAAACCAGTGGGCTGACTCATGTAAACTGTTTCACTCAAAATTCCATTAAGGAAAGCATTATTAACATCAACCTGCTATATGTCCCAACCATTTGAGATAGCAAGGGTAAAAATGATCCTAATTGTGGAGGGTTTGATAACTGGACTAAAAGTTTCAAAGTAGTCTAAACCAGGAGTTTGCTGGAATCCTTTTGCCACCAATCTAACTTTATATTTTTGCAAGGAACCATCAGCATGAAACTTTGTACGAAAAACCCATTTATTACCCATAACATTCATTTTAGAGGTTCGAGGAACAAGAATCCATGTCTCATTTTTTAAGAGAGCATTAAACTCCTCTTGCATAGCCTCTCTCCACTCTCTACAAGCAAGAGCTTCATTCACAGAGGAAGGTTCAGGTTGGGTAGTAAGGAGCTTGGTTACTAAAGCAGTACTAGTTTGTTGAGCAAATTTTGCTTGAGTAAGCATAGGATGAAAATTAATTACTGGGTGAAAGGATAGTGTAGGAGTAATAGAAGTAGATATTTAAGTTTCTAAGGGCAGATTGGAAGAAATCTTGGAAGGCATTGCCTTAGGAGGCTGAGATGAAGAGAGATCAACTACAAGCTGATAGTCAGGAGATATTCTAGACAAAGAAGACTGTGTTGTTACTGTGGAAAGTTTAGATACTAAATCAGCAGGTGGAAAGCAGGGTAGATCTACAGTAAGAGGGCTTTTTGGACACTTTGAAACAGACAAATGATTTTTGGTAGTGTGAGTGTGAGTGTGAATGTGAGGAGGCAGAGTTGAACTGATTGGAAAAGACCTGGATGATGAGCAAGACATGGAAGAGTTATCCTGCAATTTTGAGTTAGAAGTAGAGAAATTTGGTACAGATTTAACTGAGGAGAAAGAGGAGTAGTAGATGGTGAAACTTGCTTACCAACTGCTGTAGAAAAGGAAGGAGAGGACCAGAGTTTTGTTGAAGAGACTTTGCTGTTTGTATCAGTTATACAAGGCATAGAAAAAAATGAAAAACTTCCTATGATGGAGATGTTATTAGTATCAGGAGAGGACTAATGTGTAGGTGCAGGAGAGGGAAAGCCAGTGACAAAGGGAAATTGTGTTTCATTGAATTGGACACTAGGTGTAATGATAATTCTATTTTCAGCAGTAAGACATTTATAGCCTTTATGGACAAGACTATAGCCAACAAAAACACATTTAGAAGAGTGAAAATTTAGTTTTTGTTTATGGAAATCCCTTAAATAGGGAAAACAAGCACAACCAAAGACTTTTAAGGAAGAATAAAGTGGAATTCTACCAAACAAAATTTGATAAGGAGAGATAAATTTCAAAACAGAAGAAGGCATTCTATTTATTAAAAAAAACAGCAGTTTCAAAGGCAAGCCACCAAAAATGCAATGGCATGGATGCTTGGGTAAGTAAAGTAAGACTGATTTCAGCAATATGTCTGTGTTTTCTCTCACTATGCCTATTTTGTTGATGAACATAAGTACAAGAATGTTTAAATTCAATTCCAGCATTAGTAAGATAAGAACTTAATCCTTTGTATTCACCACCTTGGTCAGAATGTAAACATTTCAATTTGGTATTGAATTGGCATTCTACCAAATGATGAAACCTAATGAATGTGGAACTAACCTCAGCTTTGGTTCGTAATGGAAATAACCAGGTAAAACAACTATAATCATCAATGAAATGTATGTAATACCTAAATCCTTCTAGAGAAGCCATTGGTGTTGGTCCCCAAACATCACTGTGTATGAGTTCTAAAGGGTGATCAGCTCTGGATGGAGATACAGGAAAGCTTGTTCTATGTGTTTTTCCTAACTTGCAAGCATCACAATAGGATAAAATAGGACCAGACTCTAGAGGTTTGATATGAAGCTGAGCCAGAATTTTATTAAGAGCTTCAACATGTGGATGTCCTAGTCTATTGTGCCAAAGGTTCATGTTTGTAGCTGTGTTAGTAACTTGAAATGCAGATGATGCAATAGGCAACACGTGAGAGACAGAACCAGCATGGTTTTCATTAGAAAATGAATCAGTAGTCACTTTGGTGCAGTCAGACAAAGCAGGTATTATATTATGAACAAAATCAGTAACTTGAAATGCAGATGATGCAGTAGACAATGATGCAGTAGGCAACACATGAGAGACAGAAGTAGTATGATTATGAGATGTTAAAATACAATCATTTGTAATAGGCAAAGCACACTGGGCAGAATTAGAATTGGAGCTACTATGTGAAGAAATAGGCAATATACATAAATCATAATTAGAATCAGAATTAGAGAGAACATCTTTAGGTAAATTGCAATGAGAACTTTTATTTATTGAAGTTGAATTACTGTTAGAAACAACATTTGCACTAATGTTTGAACCACTTGGCTGTAAGCTAAGATCAAGAGTGCTGGATTTACTATTAGTAGCAGCAGAGACACTCAAGTTACACTTATGAGTAATGTTGGGATTTAAAGACTTATTCATAGCTATGGAACTAAGACCTTGGGAAGTAAAATAAGGTTGACAAGGTTCATTTGAATGAGGAGGAACTATTTGTCCAGGACAACCAGAGGAACTATATGAAATCTCATGAGTAGATGGCAAGGTAGAGGGGATGTGCAACTGATACAAGCCAACTTTAAGTCCTCCCTGCAAAAGCACTGTTCGAGTGTCCTTGTCCTTAACAATATAGCAATCAGAATTAAATTCCACCACTACATTGTTATCTTTTATGAATTTTGAGATGCTAAGGAGATTCTTAGTTATTCTAGGTACACATAAGACATTTCTCAAGTATAAACATTTAGAATGTAAAGAGCTGGGTAATAAAGTAAAACCAACATGGGATATGTCTAGAGACTCACCACTCTCAACTTGTAGTTGATCTATACCATCATAGGTCCTGCTTGCTGCTAAGTGATGAGGATCAGAGGTAACATGGTCAGTTGCTCTTGAGTCCATGTACCAAGCTGGATCAGTTGGTGTAGTAGAAGAAATGATCATAGGTGTATGTGAGGTTGAAGATTGAGGAGGGTATTGGTGAGAGATAAAGTAAGCTTGACTAGGTTGTTGTGCTTGGACATTAGGAGAGAAATTGGTTTGTGTTTGGGCTGGTTGTGGAGTGGGAAAGGATGTTGATTGTGGAGTAGGAAAGGATGTTGTATGATAGGCTTGGTTGGGTAAATAGGTTTGTTGACTAGGGACTGGAAAACTTGGCTGGTTAGGGGTTGGAAAGTATGTCTGCTGACTAGGAATAGGAAGATGTGACTGTGGATAAGCTTGTTGTGAGGTGGAGAATAAGGTAATATGACTTCTAAAGGGCAGATTACTGCCAAAAGAGTTGCCACCAGTGGTAGCAAACTGAGATCTAGAACCAGGCTGTCCAGTTTGAGGAAACATGCCAAACTGAGAGTGAGAAGTTCCAAACTGAGGTGGAGTGCCATTGTAAGTAGAATTAAACCTACGATAGCACTGCACTGCTGTGTGTCCTACTTTGCTACATACTTGACATACTGGTTTACCCCTACCAGTACCTCTGCCATGACCTTTTCCATAGGACTAAAATCCTGATAGTTTGTAATTTGTGACAGCAGGTTCAAAGGTTCCACCAGAATAACTTGGATGCCCAAAATTACTTGGATGTGAAAAACATCCATTACTAGGTGAGTAATTGGGTGCAGTAGGCTAGTAAGTCTGTGTAGAGTAAGTCTGTGTAGAAGGTGTAGTGTTTGACAGAAAAGGTACTTGATAAACTTGATGGAGACTATTAGAAGCATCAGTAGAGCCTTGTAATCCTCTTGACACAGTATTAATAAGAGAAGCAACATGCACTGAACTATTAACAAAATCTACATTGTTAAACTTCTCCAGTCGCATTTCATATTTCTGAAGCAAGTATTGCGCTTCTTGAAGAGATACTGAATCAAACTTAGACTCAATTCTAGATGTTAGGTTCACAACAGCAGCATCAAATTCTGTACCTAGGCCATCTAATACATACTGAAGTAAATCTTCATCAGTTATAACCTGTCCACTAGCTGTTAAGTTCTCAGCAATACTCTTCATTTTCTTAACAAACTCATTGACACTCATATTTCCTTTCTGAGTATTTTGCAGGAGATTCTTCAAATGAAGAGCTCGTGCTTTAGAGTCAGTAATAAACTCATTTTCAAGCGCATACCAGATTTCAATAGCGAATTGACACTTAGAGATGTAACTAAACATACATTCTGAAATTGATCCTAAGAGCCAAGTAACAAGGAATTTATCAGTCTTTTTCCATGCTACATAGGTTGGATTATGTTTTTCCTTAGCTAGGGTTTCATTCGACTGAGATGAACTAACATTTTCAGAAACAATTAAAGGATCACGACATGGAATAGCACCTGTTAGATGTTCTTCCAATTCATGAGCTCTTACAGTTGATAGCACTTGAGACCTCAAGAATCGATAATTATCCTTGTAATTATCTCTCATCAGCTTCGAAGTGATTACTTGCAAACTGGACAAAAAAATTGAGGATTGAGCTGGATTAAGGAGCGTTGTTTTCTCCATAGTGTGAATTGAACAAAGAAAACCCAGAATCGTTGCTGTAGACGTTTGTCTTCAGCTCTGATACCATGTGAGATCTAGAGAATGAGCAAAAAATGTTGTAACCATTATTTTGATAAACGCAGTTCAGAGTTTCGAACTGAACTTTAAAATGAAGACTAACTCTCTTTTATATGAAAGAGAAGAGAATTGAAACTACACCGTTTTTAGTGAAAGAGGATTTTACAGCTAATTTACAACTTTACCCTTTCTTACTCTTTGGTCAACACGGAGGTCTCGGTACCGACTCCAACAATTAATAAATAAGATATCGGTGGGTGCTGGCGGTGAAACGACTGGGTCGGCCAACTTTAGAGGACCATGCGAGGCAGAAATCTACAAATCAAATGAAACACAATATTCATATAACAAGTTGACAACTCCTAACTCAAACACAAATTAATTTGATATCCAATAACAAGAGTAATAAGTATAAACAATTTTTTTAACGTTATACTGTACCTTTAACGATCCATGCTTCACTAAATAGTCTAAATTTAGATAGTTGAGAAGCAAATTAGCAGTACTTGAGCCATTATCAAATTAGAATGGAAAAAAATTAGTGCAATCTTAGGCGTTGACTTCATTTTTCTGAGGATAGCAAAGCAATGGTGAGTTTTTTTTTTTGGATCTTCAGCCTCTTCTTCTTTGGAATGTCCGTAGTTTTTTGACTATTTTCTACTAATATTAATTGGAGAGTTATGATCTATGGTACAATACTTTGGGTGATGCATGGACACTAATCCTCATATGGCATGATTTCAAGTAGCCACCGAACAGAAGATATTGCAGTATGGTTTTTTTATCGAGCTTGTTGTTTGATTGTATGTATAATGAATTAGATAAAAAAAAAAAAAAAAAAAATAATAATAATAATAAAATTTGGTAAATGTAAAACTAACTGGGAGTACTCCAAATATTTTTATATATCATAATTATTTAAAAAAAAATGGAAAAACCTGGTTCACGTTCTGTTCTTTCTTGAATGAACACAAAATTCGCTGTGATTTGAAAATTAATAGTGCATGCGAGTTTATGATAAAGTTTATCAAAATGTCAATATTATATCTATTTTTTAGCAAATTTTAGTAAAGTTTCTTTATGATTTTTAAAATACTGGGATATTGTTTGAATTAGAAAAAAATAAAAAACTAAAGAGGTTAATATAATTTAATTAAATTAAATCTTAGAGAAAATTAATAAGATTGACTAATATAGGTAGATATATATAAGTCTAGAAGATTGAGACTCAGAACGAAATTAATAAGGTTAATATCTATCAAATGGACCACAGGTAGGCTTTGATTGACTAGAGAAATTTGGCACGGCCCTGAGTCAAATTTTGATTTGTAGATATTAAGCGGCAGACAAGTAAAGACATGGACCGACGAAAGAAAGAATATGCGTAGAGCACGTCTCTTCTTTCTAGTTTCTACATACCAGGTCGGTGCCGCATGCCCATGCAAATACCTGACACTGTGGCTGCTGCCACCCCTTTTGACTTTGAGTAACACATTTGAAGCTGGTTAATACCTTAAATTATGCTGCCTCTTGTTTTAGGTTTTACACGTACAAGATTAATGAAGTTATTAATTGAATCATCATCAACGATGATAGTATAACACAAAGCAAAGCAATTATAGTGTGCATTTGTTTTATTATTTTGGATAGGATTTTGAGAATAATATTGAGTAGTTGAATAGAGGAGTATTACGAGGTAAAATTTAAAAAATTATAAAAAAATCCTCTAGGTATGTTAATTTAATAAACACCCAAATATATATAAATATTGTAAAATGACAAAAACACCCTCACCATCTGCAGTGCCAGATTCTGACCACCACCACCGGAATCTGGTCAGAAAATTGCGTAAGGACACATACCGGTCGGATCTGGCCGAAAAAAGCCATATTGATGCCATACTTGCCAGATCTGAATCTACGGCCACATGTGGTCGTCGACGGCCGAAAAAGGCCAAAGAAGTCCATCTTTGGCCGTGGTTGTTGTTGTCGGTCAACGACGACCCTTTCTTTGGCCGTCACTGATTTGGTCGGAAAAGGTTAAATCGGTGAATTACCAGTCAGTTCTAATCGGTAATTCACCGTTGTGGCAGATTCCGGCTATCATCGAGAGTGGTTGCCGGAATTTGGCAAGTATGGGTCGATGGGGGTGTTTTTGTTAATTTTTAAACTTTTTTTTGGGGGTATTTAATAAAATTAATAAACTTAAGGGGTCTAAAAGTAATTAAAAAAATACAATAATATTTCTCAAATAATGTGCCAAACAATATTTGGAGAATAGGATTGGGAATATGAGTAGAAATAGGGAACCAAACGCACACATGTTTCTGATATTGTAAGAATTTATCCAAATTATATCTAACAGCACCAAAGCAATTATGATAACAATTTACAGATTAAAATTCTATGGCTCTGTTTGGTTCACTTTTTTACACTTTTTAGAAATTTTTTTTGAAAAAAGTTAAAAAAAGTTGAATTGGGCGGGTATTATGATGTAGGATCTGAAAATTAATAAAAATACCATCTATGTTTGTTTTTTTACTAAACCCCCCTATAATAAAACATTAAAAGTTAACAAAAACATCCCCAACCTACCCATTAAATATGGACAGCTGGCCACCACCGTCGAAGGGTGGCTGGAGTCATCATATCGACGCATGACCAACTGGATCTTGCCGGTTGTGCGTCGATATGACCTTTTTCAGCCAGATCTATGATAGATCTTTGGCCTTAGATCTGGCCTTTTCCGGCCAGATCCATCGTGGATCTGGCCAAAAAAGGCTAGATCGGTGCACTACCGGCCAGATTCAGCCGGTAGTGCTCCATTATACCAGATTTCGGCCATTTTCTGGCGGTGGTGGCCGGAATCTGATAAATATGGGTTGCTGGGGTTTTTTTTTACAATTTTTAAAAATATATTTAGGAGTATTTAATTAAATTAACAAATTTAAGGGATTTAAAAAAAGTTGAATAACATTGTGAGTTTTTGCAATTTTACTATTTAACTTTATTGGGAATACTAATAATAGTATTCCCAAATGTGAGTTAAACGAAGCCTATGTTATATATGTACAATAAGGAATATTATGGATGGCAAGAGTTTTTTTTTTTTTTTTTCGTTCAAGATATGAATTTAATTATATTAATTGCATCACATAAGACAATATTAGTTTGAATCACATAGATATATTTGTATCCTGGTAGTTGTCCTGTTTTCCATTTAATTTCACACGAGGGTATTTATGAGAATTAATTTGACCAAGCACTGATCTTACATATTTAATTCTTTCTCGTGAGATTTGCAAAAGCATTGACCACACAAATGTTCACCAGACAGGGCCTTATGTCACTTGAGAGTTGAGACAAACAGGCATTAGGTATATAAGAATTTTATTGAAAACAAAAGTAAACATTAATTCTATATGTATACATATTAACATCTTAAGTCTATATATAGGATTGTATTGTATGGTCATCCTTAACAGTATTGTTTCTACTGATAGGATGTTGAACAAAACAAAAAATATGAATATGATAAATTAATGAACCAAAAAACTGAGAAGAAAAATGAATATAATTAGATCAAGTTTCTGCGAACAAATGCTTCATCTTTCTCCGATGGCTCTTTAGTGTCCCGCGCCAGGGCTGGGACCCGACTGCTTAATGCCTCCTAGAATATGATTGTCAACAAACTTGTGTCCCTTTCCAGGGCTGCTGGGACCCGACTCCTTAATGCCTCCAAGAGTGTGACTATCAACGAACTTGTGTCCCTCGCCAGGGCTGCTGGGCCCCGAGTCCTTAATGCCTCCAAGAGTGTGATTATCAACGAACTTGTGTCCCTCGCCACGGCTGCTGGGACCCGAGTCCTTAATGCCTCCAAGAGTATTATCATTAATGAACTTGTGTCCTTGGCCAGGGCTTGGACCCGACTGTTTAATGCCTCCTAGATTATGAGTTTCAGTGAACTTGTTACCGACACCAGGGCTCGGACCCGACTCCTTAATGCCTCCTAAAGTATGACTGTCAATGTACTTGTGTCCCTGACCAGGACTCGGCCCAGATTGCTTGATTGCTCCAAGAGCTAACCCATCGAAAAAACCATCAACCACTTCTCTGGGAGAGTTCCGTGGCAACATGATATTGAAGGGACGGGCTTCAGTCTCAATGAAAATGGAGTTTAGCAATTGAAGAAGCAAAAGTAAGCTGAGAGATTTTAGTATAGTTGTCATTTTTACTGTGATAGCTGGGGAGAGAGAAACTTTATACGAGGTCGTCGGTGTTAGCAAAGGAAGCAAAAGGTTATGTTATAAAGTGATATGAAGCGAAGAGAATCTAATGTGGTATTTATAGTGGTAGCTTGTTTGGTGAGTAAATTGTCGACTACACCGTGAGATAGGTTTCCTTTGACTATGGTGTATTGGAATTTAACACCATTCAAACCCAAGGTAAGAATTCATACTTTCTAATTTCAAACAAAGGATTATTCCTGCTCGGAAACAACGAGGGAGGTTCTCATATTCAATCTAAAAGGTGGGAAAATTAGAGAAGGAACGAAAGAATTAAGAAAATAAGAGATTGCGAGTCCAAGTTGGGAGTAGGTGTAGACAATAATATATTTTAAGATATATAAAAAAATATAAGCCAGCTTCGTTGCATGGATCATAGGTTCAAATTCAATTAGCAGCCATCAGGACAACAGGAATTCTCTTACCGATTTTTAGACCAAACACAGTACTGTCTGAATTCAAGAGGATTGGGGATCAAAGCAGTCCAACATGATCTCTTAGAGTTAGACTAATTAGATGTATTAATATTATTACTAGTCAACTTGGGCAAGCAGAGTATTGGAAGCTTCCTAATCTTTTCAACTTGAAAAGTAAAAAGAAGGAATTTCTAAGATATATTAGTCTATTATATGTGATATAGCTAGTTTGTTTGGTGATCTGGTAGGGTTCAATTTTGTAATATACTGATCAACGACTCTTGAGTCTGGAACAACCACAGCTCAGCCTCAGAGGTCAATTTTAGGCCAATATTTTATTTATAATCAGATAAGACAAATGATATTAATTGAGCTTATAGTTTATGCTAAGTTGTTCATGTCTAGGTTAAAATTGAACACAACTATATTAAACCACATATACAGACATTATAATCTGTAGACGCTTAATTTTAGATGCCAACGACTTATACATGCAAAGTGTTAAAAGAGCCTTAGAAATTATACGTGATGGATTCATAAGATTTGAATATGGTGCTGAGGTTATATATGCTGCAGAAATATAAATAAAAGATTGGGAAGAAGGGGTTTTTATAGTGATTCGGATGCTCAAAAGCAAATCTTACGTCCACTGTTATTTTATATTCTCTGGCTATTTTTATGATATTGCCCATAAGGTATACAAAGATGGAGAAATACTTTGTTTATAGAGAGAAATAATGAAGCTCAAATCTATGCGTAGCTCTCATATGCCCAGCGCCCTTTTTCGGGAAGAGAAATGCCAATTTATACACTTTTGAGGTCAATGTAATGAGTGTTTTGCAAGTTGCCTTGACACATGGAAGGCTTTCGTCCGTTCATCCCTTGAAATGAGATAAGGTTGGTATGAATATCTTTGAGGAGGTATGTGCTTGGCAGCTAGTACAAAAAAAACATTTATTGAGCTGATATCAACGTGACTTTTTAGGCATAACAGAAGCCCCTGGTTTTTGAAGTGCGTAATTGCGCTTCAAAAACTCAGGTCTTTGATCTGAATGGCTGCTGCACTATAGGCTGTAGTCTCGAACTGAAGAGCTCGAACTATGCTTGGCACGATCGAGTGCTGAGAGTTAGGAGCTGATCGCGATTTGAGAGCTAGAAGTTGATCGTGATTTGATAGGAGCTCGATCTGAGAGTTTAAGGCATGTGATCTAATGCACACAATCTCAAGTAAATAAGCGGGCTTATGAGCTCAATCAGAGAGCACGAAAGGAGTTCGATCAGAAAGCACGAAGCTTGATATGAGAACACAAGGAATTCGATCAGAAAGCGCGAAACTTGATCTAAGAACTTGAGATCAATGATCTGAGCGTGCGATCCACAATCTAGCCACGCGATCGGAGAGCTGAAGATCAGCGATCTAAAGCTGAAGATTAGCGATCTAAGCGTGCGATCAGTGATCTGGCCATGCAATCTGAAGCTAAAGATCAACAATCTGAAGCTGAAGATCAAGACGATCTGAGCGTACGATCAATGATCTGACCACGTGATTGGAGAACTCTGATGCGTGCGATCAATGATCTGACCACGCGATCAGAGAACTCTGATATGTGTGATCAATGATCTGACCACGCAATTAGAGAACTCTGATGCGTGTGATCTGCGAGCTGGCCATGCGATCTAAGAATTCTAATGTGTGCGATCTACGATTTAACCACGCGATTGAAGAACTTTGATGCGTACGATTAACGATCTGGCCACGCAATCTGAAGCTAAAGAACAGCGATCTGAAGCTGAAGATCAAGATGATCTGAGTGTGCGATCAGCGATTTGGCCATGCGATCGGAGAGCTAAAGATCAACGATCTAAAGCTGAAGATCAAGACGATCTGAGCGTGTGATCAACGATCTAACCACGTGATCAGAGAACTCTGATGCATGCGATCAACGATCTGACCACACGATCGAAGAACTCTGATGCATGTGATCTGCGATCAGGCTACTCGATCTGAGAACTCTGATGCGTGCGATCTAACCACGCGGTTGAAGAACCCTGATGCATGCTATCATCGATCTAGCCACGCAATCTGAAGCTAAAGATCAGCGATCTGAAGCTGAAGATCAAGACGATTTGAGCGTGCGATCAGCGATCTGACCACGCGATCGGAGAGCTAAAGATCAGCGATCTGGCCACGCGATCTGAAGGTAAGATCAGCGATCTGAGGTTGAAGATCAAGACGATTTGAGCGTGCAATTAGCGATCTGGCCACGCGATCGGAGAGCTAAAGATCAGCGATCTGAAGCTGAAGATCAGTGATCTGGCCAGACGATCTGAAGCTAAAGATCAGCGATCTGAAGCTGAAGATCAAGGCGATCTGGCCACGTGATTGGAGAGTTAAAGATCAACCATCTGAAGCTGAAGATTAGCGATCTGAGCGTGCGATTAGTGATCTGACCATGCGATCTGAAGCTAAAGATAAGCGACTTGAAGCTAAAGATCAAGACAATCTGAGTGTGCGATCAACGATCTTACCACGCGATCGAAGAACTCTGATGCGTGCGATCTGTGATTTGGCCATGCGATCGGAGAACTCTAATGCATGCAATCTACGATCTGGCCATGTGATCGGAGAACTCTAATGTGTGCGATCTGCGATCCGTGATTTGGCCATGCGATCGAAGAACTTGGACGTAGGTTTGAGACCTACATGGGCCACCAAACTGTTGACGCTTGATTTTGGATGCCAACGACTTGTACGTGCAAAGTGCTAAGCCTTAGAAATTACACGTGATGGATCCATGCGATTTGAATATGGTGCTAAGGTTATATATGTTGCAGAAACATAAATAAAAGATTGGCAAGAAGGGGGTTTTTATAGTGGTTCGGATGCTGAAAAGCGAATCCTATGTCCACTGTTATTTTATATTCTCTGGCTATTTCTATGATATTGCCCGTAAGGCATACAAAGATGGAGAAATACTTTGTTTACAGAGAAAAATAATGAAGCTCAAATTTATGTCTAGCTCTCATATGCCCAGCCCCCCTTTTCGAGAAGAGAAGTGCCAATTTATACACCTTTGAAGTCAATGTAATTAGTGTTTTATAAGTTGCCTTGACATATAGAAGGCTCTCATCCGTTCATCCCTTGAAATAAGATAATGTTGGTATGAATATCTTTGAGAAGGTATGGGTTTGGCAACTAGTATAAAAAAAATATTTATTGAGTTGACATCCGCGTGAGTTTTTAGGCATAACATAATCCAATCAACTCATAAGTTAAGTTTAAGGATTTAGTAATTAATATTAATATGTGATTGATATAAATGTATCTTTCTTTTTTAATCTTCAGATTAACTAAAATTGCAAAGTCTTTTAATTTTGCAAATCATCAAAGAATTATTTTCATAAAATAGCAACACGTCCATTTCACTTGGAAGTAGACATATATTACCAAATGGGTAGAATAATAACTAGATATACTAAATAATCTGGCATTAAAACATAACCACCCTTCAGGTTTAGTATAAGTAAAATTAGATCCAAGTGTCTAAACAATTGACATTACAAGCCCAAATATTATTATATAGTTATATTTTCATCCAAAGGATAACCGTCGTTAACCTAATTAGTTAGATAAAGGCGTAAAATTGGAAATACTAATCCGTTAGATAAAGGGGAAAAATTGGAAATACAATGAAAATTAATCAAATATATATCTTTATGAAAAAAAAAAAAATTCGGACTTTTTTGTATTCAACTATTGTTTTTGTTTATTTTATTTATAATCAGATAAGACAAAAGGGTTTTTGTGTCTTCTTGTCATATTTTGTGTGTTAAATAACAGATTTAGCTAATAACGGTTATCTTTTGGATAAAAATGTTCTTATATGATAACATATGGGTTTGTGATGTCATTTATTTAAACCTCTGGGTCTAACATTTCTTACACGAAATTTAAAGGGTGTTTATGTTTTAAAGCCCAAATGATCCGCATGCAGACTTGTACGTAATTTCTACATAGAAATAAAATAAAATAAAAAATGTGAAATGGTTTGTCTCGGTTTGTCCCTGAAAATGTTCCATGACTTGTACGTTTCATCTTCTTGGAGTTTCGTATTCTACTGAAAAGCATTTAGATCAATGTTAATGTTCTGAATTTACTATACATAACCCCTCAGCATTTGTAAAACTGAGTATGAGTAACGCAACAGTAATTCTGTGAAAATATTTAGGTATACAACTTAGGTGGATAATGTGCATATGAACATATATTTAATTTCATCTAACTAATAACAACATTTATAATTGATTGATTTTAATTGTATATACCATATAATAATATTGAATGAATATATAAATGAAATGATACACTCCTACCATCTAAAACTTTTTCAATACATAAATATGCATTTGAAATTAATTAATACATACTTGGTAGCCATATATAGGGGTGTTTTGAAAATAACATATTTTGAGAAAGCTTTATATGTAGCTTTACAGAAGTCATTTATACATGCTTTCCCGTGCCATGTCAATATGTTAAATTCACAATTTATTTCGCATTTTATTTATAAAATGGTCAGAAAATATATTTGTCAA